TATATATATATACATGCAGTACCAGCTAAAGCAGCAGGTACGGGCACACAAGAGCCTGACGAGCATTGTCGCGGTTGCTGCCTTGCAACATCAAGCTACAAAGCAAGCTTAACAAAGTCCGGGCAAATACAGTCTATCCGTTCCGTGAAGCCACAAAGGATCCTTGCCTTTTCCTTTTCCCTTAGGAGATCCTTTACTCGCTCGTACTGGGCGCTAATCAAATTGCGAACTTCATCATCCACGAGCTGCACGTACAAACGGGCAGCGACAACAACTGCAAAAGTGTGGGTTGAATGTACGCTGACACGGAATCATGCGAAATTTTGGACGCGTCTGCTTACACCCACATGCACTTACACACGCGCAGGTATGCACACGAAAATCCAGATGAAAAGCAAACGAAAATGATGAGGTAAAAAGGGTAGTGGGACAAACGAAAAGGCGTGAAGAATCACAACCCTCCATTCGCCGCACAACCAATCACACCGATGAGAGCGCAGGCTCAGCGAGGTAGTCGTTCAAGTGCTAGCGGCATGGATATAAACTCACACGACTCCTCTACGAAGGCTAAAGTAAGGGAAAGTGCGTGCGTGTCGCTAATCGCATTTTCAACTGCACCAGGTAGCCTGGCATGTACCGGTCTTCTCACCTGCGCCGTAGCATCTGAGAAAAACTGATAGGGGTCCTGTGGGTTTTGTCGAGTGCGCTTCAAGTTGACCAAACCGACTTTCGGGTTCATTCCTAATTGCATGATTATTAAACGGGCCAGATGAGTGGCCTTTTCAATGTCATCGACGGCACCTACGAACCGAACCGTACGAAGCGGAACCAAAACACGTTTCACTCATAAAGGTTCTATACTGTGCAGCGTTCGAACTAATACTAAGATGGAACTGCACAGGTAGTCAGACAAAGGAACGAAAAAGTCACGTGATGCTCCTTTGGTGCGTTCGCTGGTCTTGTAGGATGCTCCTGGAAATATCCTTGACCCAAACCTACCGAGCCTAAACGGGGAGGCCCTGCAATACCCTCAGGCCCATTTCCACTCACCGCTGGATATACATCCCATAAAGAGCTCCTCCGCCGCTCTCCCAGCAAGACACACGGCAATTCTGTCTAGAAGGGCATCTTTCTCATAGAGTTCCACAGGAGGCGGCATCTGCTGACTGAATCCCATGGCTCCGCTGTCCCTAGGAATGATAGTTAATTTGAGCACCACGTCTACTCAAGCATATCACAGGCTCAAGCACAGGCAAACGAAGTAATAGAGCAGGTATTTCACACAAACATCCAGATATCCAGATATGCTCGTGCACTTCTGTTGGGTGGATGCAATCGATGGAGCTGTACCTTAGTGCAAACAAAGCAACGAAAGAACCACGGTGATATATAACGTAGCTGATATACAACTACGGCGGACAAAGCTACCATACGAATGTATGAGAAACGGCATGTATGTCCAATAAAAGGGCAGCCAAACAGATGAACAGGAAGAGGTGTGCGAGAATAACTGGATATACGCAGGTACAGCCTGAAGCATTGACAACGACACAACCTAGCAGCCTGTCGACATAGCCGCGTCCGGGTGGCAAGCCAGGCCAATTACAGGAAGTCTCGGTTAACCCACCAGCGTGTTTCAAGAACCACCCTGCAACAGCATGCCCTGCCTCATGAAGAGCGATCGTCTTCTTTTGCTTCTCTGACATCAGGTTTTTTGTGTTGGAGGGAAGACCCGCGATAATCCTCTCGACAGCCAATTCAAAATCCTGCGCCCAAACCCTTGCCCTGCTTCCAAACCTAGAACCCTTCCCCTTTTTCTCTTTGACGCTCTTCGCCTGACTCTCGATCTGAAATGCTGTACTGTGCGTATCGTGTGTTTGGAATTGCGTAATTAGATTTTACAATACGTACCCGCTGCTCAATGCCTCGTTTCGTTCGCCTTCTCGCTGCATATATTGCCGCCTCGTTGCATATGTTCGCGATGTCAGCGCCAACCTTGAAGGGAAGAAGTCGCATGTGAAATTGGAAGTAAAAGTAGAGGACAAACGACCAATGGAATGGAAGGCCAATAGAATACACATAAACAACGTAACAGCCTTGCACTAATGACATAATACCCGTAATTCGAACCCCCCGAATTACATGTATCCACACCCATCAAGGAGCGTGTATCTAAATAAATGCGCGTACATACGTGACTCGACATCCGTAAGACAAAAATGCGCTTTGCCGCCCAACTTCATATCTATAGACCTAACGAATCTTGTGGTACACTGAAACAAGCCGGCATGGATACGGGCGTCCTTATTATACAATCATAGACTATTCCAGCTATGAGAATCTGTTGCCACACGCTGTATATACATATCAATACATCTAGTCTATGTAGGGAACTTCGGCTGCAGGCAACTGCCGGCGTGCCTCGTCCTGCATGAAAATGTTCGTGGACGTGGCACCCCATGCGGAGAAACACTCAGCAGCCAGCCGCACAAACAGCGAACGGCAAAGGAGATGCAAGCTGAGTTGGCGATGAAAGTGAAATGAAAAGGAAGAAGTCACGAAAGGCAGGTGTAAGGTCGAGGGAGGGAAACGTTCACAGGTAGACAACGGAAAAGGGAAAACAGAGTTTACCATGCCGGGGGTGAGCGCAGCCATTCGCTCTGCCAGGGCATTTGAATCGACACGAGGAGACAACTTGAGAGGTTGGAGATGGACCTGAGTAGGCAAAACAAAGGGAAACAGGGAGAACCGAAGGTTGGACCATCTTGACTAAGTGAAGAATTGGGTATTGCAAGCACCCGAGAGACGCCCAGCAACAGAAAGTGCAGTCGCACTAATTTCTAGCTCCCAGGGGAGCAGAAGAGGAAGCTACAAGGCGTGCACACCAAGAACGGAGAGCATCCAAGGTCATCACGTGGGCGGCTACGCATGCCTCCAGGTCATTAGATGGGCGGCTACGCACCTTGAATATCTCAGCTCTTTCCTTAACGTCTGGTCGGTTGATGACCACCCTCCGATCGAACCTTCCAGCTCGCTTCAGTGCGGCATCTAGAAGGTCCTCTCTGTTGGTGCCTGCCGGGAAGATAAAGGGAGTTCTGCAGCAATATAATTTGCTTCGTGCTTTAAAACTGACAGATATAGGAAAGATAAGATATCCAAGTGCATTACACGTGCTGCTCCGTGCAATGAAGATGTGAGACCCCAACCTTGTGCAGGTATACGCACAAGTGTCCATGGACTCTAATCAAAGGCGCCTGCATATTCGTTGAATAATTAATGCCTCCCGGTGAGGGCACAACACGAATGCGCCTCTAGTTAGCATGTACTTCCAATCAGACACGTACACGTGGGCACGTGTACGTGGACTTATTTAGTAGTGTGCTGAAGTATGTGCGCAAACATCCACATGCATTTACAGGAGACGTAGAGGGTAGGAAAACATACACCTCCTTAAAAATCTACCGGAACTGAGCCGTGTATGCCAAGGTGTTTTCAGTATGTGTGCACACGCATTGCTGTCTGCATTTCTTTCCCAGCACGCAGGATATGGTTGTCAGCAGCATCTTTTGTAGTCCAGAGGGAAAGGAAAGAATCATGAACCCTCTAGTTTGATAGCCTCCTGCATACCTGCGGAGCACACAGGAGACAAATATACAGACGACTTCTAGGAAAAGAAGTCGTGTGTATATTGTCCAGCTGCATCCTAACAGACCTGCAGTGCGCATGCATGGCATAGGGAAGGCAAGTCAATTACCTGCCAAGACGACCACCGACTCATGTGGTGAAAACCCATCCATCTCCACGAGAAGCTGATTCAGGGTTTGTTCCCTTTCGCTATTCGCAAACTGCGTGCTGCGACTAGCACCAACGCTATCTATCTCGTCTATCCATATAATAGCTGCAAACAGCACACTCCGAATCTAGGGCACCAAATATTTGGAGAAACACCTGGAACTCAGCTCTCAGGATACGACAACAAATTCCAGTGCCTAAAACCTCAGAGCAAAACCCTGAATCCTGAACGTACAAGGCGCCGCCTTCCTGGCTTCATCAAAGAGTTCTCGGACTCTCGAAGCTCCGACGCCTACAAATAACTCAACGAAATCGGAGCCGCTAATTGAGAAGAATGGAACTCCTGCCTCGCCTGCCACTGCCTGTACACCCCAACAAACATGAACAATAGAGACCGTAGAGATACAAGGTCCAATCGACTAAGCTAAACGAAATAGACACACATGTATTTTTGGCTTCAACCTAATATATTCACCGAAGCGGCAAGCAGTCACCAACTGCTGAATGCACGGGTAGAGGGTTTGCTTGCCTTAGCGAGCAACGTTTTGCCGGTACCCGGTGGTCCAACTAACAGTGCTCCCTTAGGAAGCTTCGCACCCATTTTCTGGAATGCTGTGGGATTTTTGAGGAAGGAAACGAACTCTGTAATCTCTCGCTTGGCCTCATGCAAACCTGAGTGGCGAATTCCACCCCACAACTCAAGCAAGCAGGCATCGCAGTACTCCAAACTAGAACTCCCAAACAACGCAAGTCCTGTTGAATGCCCGCCTTGTAAAAGCCACGTACCCGCAACGTCAGCGAAACGAACCTTGACCTGCGCATAAAGCAGCGCAGCATATAGCATTTTACAGGCATTTGCTGGAATTCTGAAGCCCAAACTCCCGCGCAAACTCACAGTCTACCTCCAGGGCGCCCCACTACAGGTGACTCACTGTATCTGGCTTAATGCGAGCTCGCTTCGAGCTGCTGTTTCCCAACAGACGATTCAGACCGCTCGCGCTCCCGCCCCTGCAAACGAAACGCTACACCCAAAACACTAATCCATGAAGTCGGGGCATCAAGAATGATTACTTTTCAAGAAGTACTACCGCTTTGCAACTCCTTGTAGTAATGAGCCCCGTGATAAGAAATTTAGTTCTTAGGGTGTAGTTTTGCACCGGTTGACACCTCCTCCCATAAGAAAATCCCTGGCAATGGTGGCCATAATTAAAAAGAAGAACGCAGAGGCTACCAAATCTCCAAGACTCAAATTCCAGCCCTCTTCGACGTAGATTGGAAGGAAGTCTTTCGGGTGTATGCCGAGAGATGCCTGGCAGCCAAACCAACAGCAGACGAGATCTCAAAAGCAGGACGAAACATTACAGCAGCAGCAGCAGTAAGGCACTCAGTAAGACAATGACCTCAATACATTTTCTGAGGACCAAAAACGCGTAAAACAAATAATAAGGAGTGGGTCTCCCGCCTACCTGGAAATGTTCCATCTTTTCTATGAAGCTTTCGGGTGTAAGCCCTGTCTTGAATCTGACGATATGTTTCTTAGTGAGCATATCCGTTAGCTTGGGCGGCTGCAGCGGCGGAAGTACCGAAAATTGGTACTGCTGCTGAGCCTGCTGCTGCGTGTCATTTCGCTGCTCCTGCTGTTGTTGCTGGTATTGCTGCACGGCCATTGCCTGTTGCACCTGTTGCTGCACCTGGTGTTGCTGCTGTAGGTACAACATCACTTGATGTTGCTGTTGTTGTTCCATCGCTTGCAGCTGCTCTGGTGTTGGGGGTGCTCTGACGACAGCAGTGCAGCGGCCCCTATCCCCAACAACGACGACTTTCTCTACCAAACCTCGAGCGACATATGAACTAAGAAACTCCTGTGCAATCACGCAGGCACCACGGATGCACAGTACAGCTTCTGTTCCTGCTGTTTATTGATGGTGTACCTGGGTTGAAGAAATTCTAATGACCAACCTGTAGTGACAGCTGAGGCTCCACGACTCTCGACAAAAGCGACAGAGCAAACACCCAGATGCCCAGCCATATGCACATACGAAGCAGCAGATGCTGCAGGGCGCCGCCGGTTGGAGGAACAAATGGAAGCCGGCTGCTGCCGCTGTTGCTGTTACTGCTGCTACTACCTTCGCTCTGTTTCAGGGCCTCTTTCGGGTAAAACGCCTCGAAGCCAAGAGGCACCCGCCTTGTACTGTTCCCAGGGGCTGCTGAATGGCCAGGACCCCGAGGGTCTCTAGTGCTCTCCCCTCCGCCATCGTTGTTAGTGGTTCCGGTATTGCTGGTTCTGCTGTTGGTACTACTATTGCCACTGCCTTCATTTGTACTGCTGGGACTCTGTTTACTGGTGCTTCCCTCACGCTGCCTGCAGGTGCTGCTGCTGGAGCCGCTGCTCTCTCCAAGAGACTCTCCCCGCTTACTGCGGCTGCAGAGAGCAATTATGTCTTGCGAGAGGCGTTGCAGCAGTGTACTTGCTTCTGGCTGCTTCTGGCCTGCTGCCGCCGCCGCCGCATACAGCTGCCGCAGCAAGGGCGACAGCACTTTGTCCAAGACTTGTGCAGGGAGTTCAGCTGCCGAATTTAACAGACCTTCTTCTGCCTTGTAAAACAGCTGCTGCAGCTCATGCTGTACTTGCTGCTTGTGCAACCAATCGCGTCGACGAGCTACCTTCTCCAGCCACTGGAGACGCTGCAACTCTTGCTCCTTCAACAGCCGAATGTTTTCCAGCCGTAGCTGTTTGTCAGCACCACTGCTAGGTAAAGTAGCTGTGTAAAATCCCTGTTCTCCCCCATTCCTCGCACTCCCACTGCTCCTGACGAGCAGCTCTCCCGTGCACGTATGAAAGAATGCGGCCGCCAAACGAGGCGTTATACACCGCCCCTGCTGTTGTTGCGGCATCCTAAGATACCCTACAGGTGCATGATTGAAGGCATGCAGAGTTCCTGCTGCTGTTTTTACTTGAGTTGTTGCTGCTACCCGAGCCACAGCGATTTGGGTATTCCGTGAGAACCAGGACTGATGAAGGAGCTGCCTAGCATACGAGGCATGGCACATCACAGGAACACGTCGAAAACCATCGGAAAAGCACAAGACGGGCCGCACGCCTCGCTGCAGCAGCAGCCAATGTGCTGCAGCAGGCTGCATGCCGGCCCCGCTGTAGCTCCCACTGCTAGTGCAGCCGGCAACTATAAGCGCGCAAAAGAGTTCCTTTCACACGCTGTCTCCACGGTTGCTTCCATGTGGCGGCAACCCCTTTGGGGAGGCAGTTGCTCCTTCCTCCCTAGAAGAAACTCTTGTTGGGGTTCGTGCTGCTGTCTCAAGCGTTGCAATGGCAGGCCTCTGGAATACGCTCTGCCCCGTATATTCACTTTTCAGAGACAAATAAGGTCCGATTTAAGGATACAAAAAAGGGCACAGGGATCTACACCGTCCAGCTGAAGTACCGGCGGGAATAGCCAGCACGGGAAGCAGCAGCCAATCTTCGGTGTCTGTCAGCTACAGAAGCGGGCTCTTACCCCCCAATACACCAATGATTCCTGATCAAACGACTGCACATGCAAACTCCACTTCTGCTACACTGAAATTAAAGGTTGACGGGTACTGCCAAACGAAGAACCGCGGGACTGAGGGGCTGGCAGCTGCGGCTACTGGAAGCCAAATTTCCTTGCATTACAAGGGTTGCATGAGGAACTAGAAACTGGCCAGCCCAATATGTTGATGTTACAGTGTGTATGCAGGCTGCTGCTGCAGAAATGGTGGTATCTTCCTTCGATGATGCTGTGCAAAGCTGCCTTGCGTTTATCTGCGTCGCTGGTTAAGTTTAGCTCAACACTCCCACACAAAAAAGGTCGAATCGAGAGGCGTTGTTTGTAGTAGTTGTGATTTCATATAACTCAGGCACGACGCGTCTGCTCATCTCGGGTATGACAGTTTTAGGGTGCTGTACCCCATGTGGACTGAGCTTGGTTCGAAGTCTTTCCATGTGTGTGGCAGCATAGCGTGGTAGGTGTGAAGCCGGTACATACATTTCCATTTCCTTTCACGGTATACTTTCACGGTATATACTGAGTGCCATGTAATTATTGAGCAATTGCCTGCATATTTGTAGGACTTTCTGTCCGACGTGAACACTCTGAAGCTGGTGCATAAACACTTAGCCAGCCCTAATAGGCAAACGGTAAGCAAGTAGAGGACCTCAACAATGGTATACGATGTTGACGAATACAGTGAAGAAGGCTGATGTGTTCCCGTTTGGGGAGCTGTCTTCCACCTTGAGTTGCAGCAAGGTTGCAGCCCACGGAAGGCTGCGTCCTCTCAAACACTTGAAGGCGTTTGCGTCATGGCACTCAAGATTCGAATTCTATGACATCAGGCGATATTCCTGAACAGTCTCCAGGCATCACGAGTAATTTGGCAACATTGGAGCTCGGATAGGAATCAGACTCAGCCTTACACAGTCGCACTTCGAAGTATACACTGGCGGTGTATGCTGCATTCAGTTGCATTGTAGGGATATATTTGTTAACAGGGTTTGCCTGCGTTTAGGTGTTTTTTGTGCTACTTGGGTGGGGTAATTGTTCATGTGCCAACTGTGGATGGACTGTGCTACGCGCCGTTTCTCGCGCAGCGTCTGGCGCTTTGGCTGCTCCCGTTAGGGCTCATGAAGCTCCCTCTTATGGCATACACTGTGTAATGTTGGCACATCTGTCTGCCGTTGGCTGATTAACCTTAGGCTGCGTGGCCAGCTGACCCGGGGCTAAGATCTTGACAGGGGGTCAGGGGTAACATACCTATTATTCTACATTGTGCATACATAAATGGACTAGAATGCGGTTTAGGGTCACAGCGACTTAATTTAGAGAGGTTTGGCCCTATTTTTCGAAGATCGCTTGGCAAAGGGGCACATTGGGCTATACGTAGTGGCAGCTGAGAGTCGCTGGCTCAATACACCGAGCGCATCACCAAGGTGATTCTTGGCGTTCTCTGCGTTTTCCCAACAGGTCAAGGCTTGTGCTGTGCAACTGCACTGGTATGTGAAGCGTGACAGTTCCATTTTCCTTTGAAACTTGCGTATATTAGACTCCCTAGATATTGAGAACGTTGCAGATATCGATCTGCTCAGCAGCGGGGGGTCTCTTTTGGTAGCAGACACACCGTGGGCTTCTCCGATTGTATGTTCAAGATTCAATTTGTACTGAAGTTTTACGGAAAATGCGCGACTGTGTTTAGCAGACTACGGAAAGGCCGGTGGAACAGCGCAGCGGGAGTAAAGGTCATTTTGGTTGCCTACGATGCGCTTTTCAACGGAGGAATATGTTTTCCGGGCGCGTAAGCACAACAGCGAATTCCCATAACCACCATCAAGCCGGCACTTTTGCAGAGCCTCCCGGTTCCCCAACGGATCCGGGCAGATATCTCATTGGGTACTCCAATGGGCGTAATATCAGTCGCAAGCTATGATAGCAACTAGTCAGAATGAAGAGACTCAGCAAATATGCCAACTTTATTTCGTGTTCTAGTTCGATTGCAGCCAAGGAATCGTACGCATATTAATTCTCTATTGACGCCTGGAAGCCTCTTCGTGTTCTTAACAGGATAAGTGCTGACAGGAATCGGAGGGCCATTGGCGCGAAGCTATTCCTCGTGAACATGGACAGGCCATCATTGCTTCCCCGATAACTATTACACGGATTGAACAGTGCAACGTAACGTTTGCAGTCGTCGAACTATCCGTTAATCGCTTCTGTTTCGCAACCCAAGACTCCCCAAAGTTCCTGCTTACTCGGCTCTGTTATATACTATTGCTTTCATCGTAATCTAGTTTACGTACTCTAAGTTCAAAGAGTTCCTTTTAACCCTGCGTCCATCAGCTGCCCTTTTCGGAACTACTAGGACGGCCATTGTCAACAAGACACATAGTTTACTCAAGCAACTCATTTTCACGTCCATTTTTTGTTATGATATATATAAAAGCCGGAAATGCTAACTTAGGAGGCAAAGCCGACAGTGTCGAAGACCAGAGCGAGATCAATTTAGACATCTTTTGCACACCTGGGAGCACTCTTCTGCGCAGCTTCCGCAACACCAGCTCTTCACGAACATCGGCAAACAACTTGTCAGCTGTGGTGCACAAACAGAAAGTGAGAGCACCGGCTGAAACATCCGAAGGCATCCCGGGATGCGCGGCAAATGGAAGGAATTACAGGTATGTACAGACATATTCAGGACAGGGATAACTACAGGAGGAAGTGGACTATTTCTGTGAGGCCTGTATGGCAGATTTAGCACAGTCTGTGCGGTGTTGAGAAATCTGTCTGGTGTGTGCAGGTGGACCCTTACCAGCTTCTTGGCTATGCGTACAATTTTTGCAGGCAGTTGTTGACAAGGTTTGCTTCCATATCATCTCATCTACTAGAAGGCTGGCCTGTGCTTTTATTTGGGGCTGCCGTGCACGAGGTGATGGAGCATGGTGCTGTGCACCTAATGGCAGTTCGCCCAATCTACCACAGCGCCACTCACCCGCTGCTCCCAAGACTCCTGCAGATTCGGGAAGTAGTTCCACTGTTTTAGTGCCTATCAGAAGTATTCAGGCTCCATTGCAGCTCGCACAGGATCCATAGTCCCACTCCCAAGCATAAACTGGCTTCCTATGCTGTATTCGCTTGCACTATGGGAATTTGTTAATGTCTTGTACGTGAGTTTAGGCGTTCTCCCGTGCGTGCAAGTTGTCTACTAGGACTGAGTAAGCCAACTGCGGACGGACAGTGCTACACACATTCTCACTTGCAGTTTCAGGCTCTTTCGCCGCCCCACTCAGGGATCCTGGATACTAATAAGCGTGGAAAGTTTCTTTTCGTTTACTGCTATCAAAAGCTTATTGGCTAAACGTGCAGCTTCAAACACTCCCCGAGTAAGGTCGCGATCACGCGTTAGATATTCCACGTTGCTGTACCTTGTGTGGTTGGCGCCATATATTTTAGTGTTGCTTGCTTTGGTACACAATTAAATAAAGCAAACTAATATTTTCATTACTTGTTTGACTATGGGTGCTCTTTGTAGTTGCCCCTTTTGTTGGCCGCACTCGAAGCTCTACTTGGAGGATTATGGGGCTCTGCAGGTTGCCAAAGTAGTGTAGATCACCGGTGCTACCCCAGAGTGAGAATAAAAAAAGTTTATAATAATATTATATATAGCCCAGGAGGCAAGACAAGATAGATCCCGTAGCTATGAACGCTCCGCTGTGCATGATCATATTCGCTTGTGCCCCGTATGTGGAGTAGCAGCTCACGCCAATCCTTCGTCAATCAGCAGTTGCAGTGTGTATGTATCGCTGGTTGCTGATTATTCTGTATTTATATTCATTTGCAAGATTGAGCTTTTTGCTGCAGCCGCCTTTCGACTGAAGGCGAGCGGGGGACGGCTTCTCCTTCGCTCGTATGGCATCGTGGGCAGCATTGTACCAACGTGGCTTGTTCGTCTCCCGCTTGTTTTTCCTGCACCACCTCCTCACCCTTGTCCGCGGAAAGCATCTTCTGTGTTTATTAAACTGAAATATAACCATTAATACGGCTTTATTGGCTCCTTTTTAACATAACGGGAACGGGAACGCTACGATGAGCGGGCATTGCGCTCGAGGGCTTCTTCGGAAAGCCAACTGCGCCATCCTCGCCGCTTTCTTCCTACTTCAGCGGCCAGACAGAGGCGATGCAGCATTCAGTGATCTCACTGGCAGCACAGTTGATAACATACTAAGACAGGCTGTCCCCCCCAAGCCTCCAGTGCAAACGCCCGCCCCGACGTTCCCTCAAGAGGCGTATGGCAAGGAGCTTCCGCTTCAGCGCCAAGATGCAGCCGCAGGCGCAACAGCTGGGGCGGCATCAGCAGCAGTTACTCAGGGCCCACCTTCTCGATCCGCCGGATATTTCCCCCAGTCTATGCAGGCCTTTGGAGGGGCCACCAACCCAGCGGCTGCTGTGCCTGCACTGCAGCCGCAGCCTGCTGCAGCGCCTCTAGCATCAGGAACTGGATCGGGAGTTGCATCTGGTTTTCCTTCGTTCTCAGTAGGCACTTCCAGCCTTCCAACGGCAGGTATATCGGGGGCGGGAGCAGTGGGAGGAGTGACGGGAGTAGGCGGCTGGCATCCAGTCACTTCCCGGTATTCTCGGAAGGCATTGGCCGCTGGCCTGACTGTGCATACACCTGAGGCAGGAGACGTGACAACAGCAGCACCTGTATCGGATACAAGCGTTCCAGTTGGCTTCTTTTCGAGTTCCACTGGGGTATACAAAGTCCCCCGCTTCCCCTCGAGCGTCCAGTCACTAAGCGAGCCCAGCGAAGAAGCCATAAGGACTTGTATCCTACGAGTACCGGCAACGAAGATGACAAACGGCTTTAGTGATACCCTGAAGTCGGGGGGCGTCAACATTATGGGTAATGCTTCTTCCCAGCTGCTGCGTTTCATCGCCACCAGCTCACCGCGCTATACCTCGAAGTTGAGTGTGCCTTTGGTGCTGTTTCAACGAGCAATGGGTGCACGAGTGAGCTACGAGATAAAGGTGGCGGTACCCAAAGGGTGCGTGCTGCTTCCTAGTGACCCGAATTTGGTGGGTTTTGTCAGGAGAGATGGTAATTATGTCGTGGAGGCGGCCGTTAGACTGTTTCCTGATATTCTCGCGGGGTACACCTCGTCTGTGGCTCCAGTTCCAGCTGACCTCGTGGCATTCGCTGCCGCCTTGCCGCCTGACTCGAACTTTCAGCCGGTAGGGCACTGCGTGTTTGTGGCCCACTTCAGCACCGCACCCGAGAACATTCGACTGTGGGCATCATATACGCAAGTCAGAGTGGAAGGCGATACTGCTCTAGGCACAGAGACGCTGCAGTTGGAGATCCCCCTAGTGTGCCTGCCACAGTCTCTACACCGAACTGCCATGTGGGCAACAAAGCTATACAACGGGACTGCGATTATCGTCGCTTTCAGCCCCCCCCCAAAGCCGGAGCCCGAGTGGTTCGTTCTTCGCACCTCCGGCGACGAAGGAGCGTTGCAGCGATTGGTGGGAGTACGTCCCTGAGAGTAGCAAACTTGTCGAAAGTGCTTATTTTACTTTTTTGCAAAAATAGAATAAGTGGACAGGAAGAGCTGCATAGGACAGAAGGATGATGCGGCGAGCGTAGGAGGCGTTTGACGGAATAAGCCAGTGTTGGGTTGGCGTATTTTCAGCTATTGCCACCCGGACGGTTCTGACTGATTACACCTAACGAATTTGTGGGTTGATAGGCGGGCACATTGTGGGGAAATCGATAGAAGCTGCAGTGCTGCAGGGACGTCTTACGTGCAAGCACGTGAACGGCGCCAACGAAAGTGGAGTGAGCAAGCAAGTACACATCCGCAGTTCTGTTTGTGTATAGGCATCTGTATGCTCACATTCAGTTGTGACTGCCGTGTTTGTCCAGAGTGGAGCTGAGGACTTTCCGGGGGCGGGGGGGGAGGGAAGCTGCCGGGGGGAACGCATTTACAAATCGTTA